GCTTTTCTGGCAGGGGCATGGGTGCCAGGTACAGCGCGGAGACGGCGGAGCATGCTGAGAGCCTGGGGGACCCGCCGCTGGCCGGGATTTCTGTCTCTCTCTTTCTCTCTGTGTGTACATATAAACGAGTCCCTCTCCATGTATTTACCCGTGGGTACACGTGCGTGCGTCTGTGCGGTGGGCGTGTGGTGTGCGTGTGTGAGTGCGTGGCGCCGAGCGAGTGTGCGCCCGGAAGCGCCGGGGCGTCGTGTGTCTCGTGACCTCGTACCTCTCCAGCCCTCCTTGTACTGCACTGAAGATGGCACCTCGGTGGGATGGGAAAGGAGGTCGGACATTAAAGGTCGTTTCTCCTGTGAGGCGTGGCGTCGTTTGTGAACCGGTGAGCGGCAGGCCCCTATTTCCTTTTTCTCCCCCTGCGGCTGTGACTCCAACCTGGGTCCCCGTCCAGCTCCCTCTGGACTCCCCTTCCCTCTGCCCTAGCATCCCCATCAGGGCTCTCGCAGATCCTGTGGACACTCCAGCTAGATGCCCTTGGCCCCATTTCTACCTTCGCCATTACTGGCCTCCAGGGCTGAGCAAGGCTAACCTTGTGGCTGCAAGTGGCCCCTGGGCTTGCCCCTAAAACTTGTTTACTGCTTGTGACCCTTAGCCTAGCCGTCTAAGTCCTCCAGCTGTGACCGACACTGAGCAAGGGCCCTGACCCCTGGACTCTAATCCTTACTGGGGCACCCTGGGCCTACTAAGTGGACCTGTTCCCTGAGAGCGGTGGGACACTTCTCTCTGTGTCCCTGGGCCAACCACTTCATTGCTTGCTTGTGCCCACAGAACCTGAAGAGAAATCCAGAGGAGAATGCAGGAATTTCTAGGTAAGATACAGATCCTTGTGCCTGAAAACTCACAGGGACACAGGAACTAACTCGTCAGCTTGCCTAGAAAAGAGGCGCTGAGGAAGGTCCACAGCGGGGTACAGGAGATAACCTGGGCTCTAGCCTCAGCCCTGCTACTCAGGCATGTGTGACCAGAAGCAACTCACATCCCCTCTCCGGATCTCGGTTTCCTATTTGTGTAGTGATGGAATTGATTCTAATAATAAGATCTTTTCTGCCTCCAACAGCCCTGGGTTTAAGAAGAGAATAAAGGAGGGGGAAAAATGAAGCTTTTTTTTTCCAGAGATTCAGAAAAAGCATGGAAGGGAACCCTCCCCTATCCCATCCCTTTCTCTTCCCACCTTGGTTTTCCAAGTTGAGCATAATTTTTCAATGGCAAGAGCCTCTTCTGATAATATTAGCACATCAATCATTCATTCTGTAAGTGACTGAAATAGAAAATACAGGACTGGCCCCGTAGCCTAGTGGTTAAGGGAGACTGATCCCACGTGGCTGATGGTGGTGTGACTACTAGCCCTGGCAGCTTGAAAAACATGCCAGGTGCATGCTCATGTAGGCCCAAAATTTTGACAGAATAGAAAAATGGAAGAGAAGGGCTTATGGGACTGGCAAGTGGCATAGCGGTTGAGGTGCTGGACTCCCCCATGGGCAACCTTGGTTTGAGTCCCAGACCTGGCAGCTTGCTTTCTCACTTTCCCTTTCTCTTTCTCTCTCCAATAAAATTAATAATAATAATAATAATAATCAATAAAATCAAATAATTCTTTAAAATAAAATAAAAACAAGAGAAGGGATTGTGTCATGACCATGCCCTATTGGAGGGTACTTTCTCTCTCTCTCTCTGTGTGTCTCTCTGAATCTCCCTGGCAAGTACACATACCCTGTGGACATTAAAAACAAACAAATAAAAAATACTTAAGGTAGGAGAGAAGTGGTTCATGTAGCTGAAGGGCATAGGGAATCAGGTATGGCTGGATCAAGGCCTAAAGAAGATTGCCAGGTTACTCAGTCTCTCACATTTCATCTAGCTCCTGTCTTTCAGCTATACTTATCTTTGTATATTGCCCTGTTTTCTTACTATAAATAGCCTCTTCACACCATCCTTACAAATTGATGCACCGCAAAAGAAAAAAGTAGAATTACCCAGTGGTTCTGCCCCCCCCAAAAAAAAAAAACTGAAAGGTGAAAAATCCCTGGGAGGCCAGAGATTCTGTATCACAGACCCCGTGAAGACTTTGACAAAAGCTATAGACATGGTTTATTCCAGTTCCTGACTCAGCAGCTTAAAACTCGGCGCCAGGTGTGTGTGCATGCATGCCCAAAATCCCAAGAAGAAAATGGACGAGAAGGAATTGTGGTGCGGCCCTCCCCCCCAAGAGGTGATTTCTCACCTTCTGTCTCTCTGGCAAGCACATGTGCCCTATAGTAAAAAATATCTCTTAAAGAAAATCTTACAAATTAAGCATGATACTTGAGATCGACAGATGAAATTAGCTGAACTGGATTTTAGGAATTACTTGGTCCAATCCCCTCATTTTTATGGAGAGAGAGACTAAAGTAAATAACTTGACAAAGTCACCCCAAAATTAGAACTGGAGGTCTCCTACCTCCCGATCCAGTTCCTTGAACATTCCCCTGTGCTACCGTCTGGGGCTGAGTACATCCTCCAACAGAGAACGGGCCTCTTCTTGCTCCTATAGAGAAATAGACATCCTTGGGAAAGTCTGAACCCTGTTCCTAGGGAAGAAGGAATACTTCGGGGCAGTTCCAAAAACATTCTCTTAGCAACACAATCTTCTTTTAAACCAAAATTACACAGAATTCTGGTAGAAGAGTTCCCCATAAAATGGGGAGAAGATCAGAGCCTGGACTCCTCCTCCCCCTCATACTCCTAATAAACTCTTTCTTTGACCTGCCTCAATTGTCCTAGAGCACCACAAAATGTCATTTACAAATCATTGATCTAGGGACCAGCAGGTGACAGGGTAGTTAAGGAACTGGACTACCACATGGGCCAACTACAGTTCAAGTCCTGGACCCAGTAGCTTCAAAATCATGCTGGGCATATTTGTGTGCATGCCCAAAATCCTGAGAAGAGAATGGAGAAGGAATTGTGACATGGCCATTCCCCCTCGGGGGTGATTTCCCACTTGCCCTCTCTCTCTCTCTTTCTCTCTCTCTCTCCAGAGAGCACATGCATGCTGCACATGCATCCTATGGTGAATCTTAAATAAATAAATAAAAGATCAAAATCATTGGTCTAGTGCAAGTGGATGGGATTTGAAGTCCGTAGGGCCTGCATGATCTGGGGCAGCTCACCTTGTCTCTTCTGGCCTGATTCCCATCTATTAAACGGACATGGTATCAGAGCCCACCAGGAGGCACGGATTCCATGAGATCTTTGTGGTGTAAACGCTGACATGTAAATCACTGGGCAGATACAAGTTGTAATGTAGGCCTAGGAAATCTGAAGCCACAAGTACCAAAGGCATTTCCTGAACTACTCAGTTCTGATGATCTTGTTGACTAGTGGTGTTTGGAGGTCACCCAGACAGCAAAGAGGCAGTTGCCTCTTTCCAAAAAGAAAGTTGGTCAAGCAGCAGCTCAAGTCCCCTGGCGTGCTGGTTCCGGATCTACTCCTAGCCACAGCCAGGATTATGCTGGCCTCTCCCAGATACCTCGCTGTGGGCAGGCCCCGGGGGACCCGAGTTCATCAAGAGCCTGTGGGACTGACAGGTCCTCTCTACCCCAACCTCTCAAATGGCAGCCAAACAGCCTTCCTTTTTCCTCCCCAGCCACTCAGACACTGCCAGGTCACCTGTCACCACCGAGGCATGCACGGGTAAATCCGCCAACCCAAAAAAAGAGGTGAGTGGCTTGGCAAGAGAAGTAATAGTTCATCCTTCAGACATGCGCTCCAGTCTCACCTCTGCCATTGAGTAGCTGTGTGGCATGGGGCAGCTTCCATCACAAGTCTGGACCTCAGTTCCCTTAGTTAGAAAGAAAGGGTAATAATAGTATCTACTTCTTACAGACATTGGGAGTCTCAAATGACATCAGGAGGGTAATGTACCATTCCAGGCACTTAGTAAATATCCCATAAACAGTAGCTATTAGCAGAGGTATTCGTTTTTCAATTACTC